TTTTCGAAGTTCTGTTTTGGTTCTTCCTCGTTACAACCTCCACCACGACATTGCCGCACGGGTATGTGCATAACTCACGAAGGCTTCGGTACGACCTGGAACCGAGCGATTCAATTTATTGACTCAAATTCATAGCCAAATAAGTGAATTACTTACCAACACCGGCATTCGCCGTATCTCTATCATATACATGCCTGAAGACGGTTGCTCGTAAAACATTGTGGTCAATATTTGAGATTTCTTCTTCCAACTGAGCTAGAGATCGTACATGTCCAGTGTAGAGCAGCTTAAGCAATCAAGAAGATTACAATTTTAAAAGCCTAGAGGACATATAACGAAATCACAAATGAACACATTTGTTACCTCCTTTGCATTGTACTCTGCCTTTTGGGTATTCGTTTCAAGGTTTTGGTAAAGTTCAGTTCGAAGTTGATTGCGTGCAAGTGTTGTCTCTTCATCGGAGATAGCTGCCGCAAGGTGCTATAAAGAGTAAATGAAGACTTGAACACTGAGTTTTATGAAACCAACCGCAGAGAGGGATCGCGATATTTCTTCGAAAAAGAAAAAGAGGAGTTGAAGTCTTGCCTTTTCTAACGGAACAAATAGAAATTGTAGCAAAAAAATTACTACCTTCCACTCATGTTGGATGCTTCTCATTATTCCTTGTGAATTGGCGAGATCGTCCCCATCACTTACATAGTATACTCCAAACAAGCCAGTGTCCCTATATAAAATCGAAATTAATTCTTCAACACTCGGCAAGGGTTATCAGCGGAAGCATTTTGGCTTACTTGTAGTGAATGTTAAAATGTTGCAAAAATTGTAGACCATGCTCATGTGAAATCTTTTGAACCCAGCGTGAAGGAGCAGTACGAGAGGTTGCATGGGTAACATCCCACTGGCCTGGAAATGAACAAAGCAATGCAGTCGTAAGACATCTTCGAGAATCTGTGAGCAATTGTATCGAAAGAACATCCCTACTGCAGTAAAAAGTGTTATAAGTTGAGGCTGCAGTGAACCACCATACATGTGTACGAGACACTAAGCAAAGCAACGGCCTGACCGTGCGAACGTTTCTAAACGAGTGAAAGCTTACCTATGAACTGACTGGCCATCTGAAGAGCAAGTGCGTCCTTATGCCCATAGCCAACGCCCTTAAAAACATTTTCATAGTAAAAGTACCGTTGGTGTAGCAAATAAGGTGACAGTGAGGTGGGCCAATGATGGTAGAGAAAACTTCTGTGAGAAAACAGAAAGCGAGTAGAAGTGATGGGAGTTTGGGCATCATATTAACAGGTAAGCATGATGAATTGTATAACTATTGAGTTGAACAGCAAATGAAACCCACCTCAACGGCAATAGCAGAATACATGTGCGGTATGTAGTCATTACGATATCTGTACTCGCTACCAGTAAAGCGAATACCACCTGCCTGAAAATTTCTGAATACTTTTCATATGCAGATAAAGGATACTTACAGTACCTCAGGGACCTTTCTTGGATATTCGTTGCTGAGATCTCCGAAATATTTTTCAGCAAGGCCATGTAACTTGGAGCTAGAACAGTTACCACCAACAGCTGAGAGAACCATACGGATTGGACGATAGTTATCTTCCTGCCACTCTTTCAAGTGCTGTGCGGTGATGGCCTAAAAGGCGTTTTTCGAAAATTGTAAACGCATCTATACATCAAGTAACTCCTTTCTGGTCAAAACGCACCTTGAGTGACGTAGTCGTGCCCATTGGGCTTTTCGACATGGGCGTGCCCTATAATACTCTATCATGAAGATGTGAGCGTTAAAATATGAATCAGAAAGTTGTTACCTGGAAAGCAGCAGTATGAAGATTATCCATCGTCATTCCTTGCAGATCGTCTTCACTCTGTTCTAATTCACGAAGCAATACTTCACGTTCTTTCTCTATTGCAGATGAATCCAATTTGCTGTTGCGAAGGACGTCGGCAATGATATCCACCACTATAATAAAAAATACTCGAGGAAAAAGCAACACAGTAGAACGAATATAACTGCAACACAACCGAAAAGGGGACGCAGGATTAACTATTCCGTAACCCTGTTTAACTACGATTTCCAAACGATGACAAGTCGAGGCAAAAGAGCGTGTATACGTCGCTTTATCTCATGCTTTCGTGCAAATTAATGTTGGTCAACCAGTCCCAGTAAACGGAAGGATCGGTTGGCCTGAGAGAGTTCAGATTTTGAAGTGCAGTTTCCAGGTCACGGCGGTATGAGACCCAGATAACCCAAATACCTCGTCAGAAGATGCCTTTCCTTCCTGGAAATAATCCGGTCTGGGTACATCTCAAAGAAAACCGGTCAAAAGTAAACCCCTCAGAAATCCGAGAACGACTGAACGACTAATTTATCACTTTATTTAAATGGCACACCATTATCTTCATAAGTTCAATATTTATGTTAATACTTCCAATAAATCGGCCCCTTTAAAATGCCCAGAACAGATCAAAAAAAGACCAACAAGAAATTCGTTACAGCTATTTGTTAGTTCAAATATTCTAATTTCCCAACAATTAGTTTAAAAATTCTTAACTTTCACTTTTAACTGCTAATAATATGCGAGCGAATTAAATAATACATACCTTTCTCAACATCCTGGGAAGACGACTGCACAAAAAGGGCAGTACGATCTCGAGTGGTATAAGATTGCATCCTGGCACCGATTGCCTCTAGTTCTTTCTCGAGAGTAGCAGAAGCACGCTTACTGGTTCCCTAAAACACAAAAGTAGGTGCTGAGCCGAATACAAGGCCGAGTGTGCAGGGAATAAAAGGTAGCGGGAAATTTGAAGCTTCGAAAATCACTTTATGCATGAGTCGCTCCAGGAAATGAGCGACGCCATTATTTTCTTCAGTTTCGTAACGGGATCCAGTTTCAATCCATACTCCAACCTAAACAGGCTCATTTCTACAACAATCTCATTTCTACAACTCGCTTCGAATAGGGTTTGTTTTAAAGATATAGAAATAACTCTTTAGAGGATTAGTAAAAGCTAAAGGCCGGACGCAAAACAAATTCAATGGAATGGTGGCAATTTGAAATTACAGTCGAACATGTACTAGAGTAGGCCTCACTCAATTCAAGTAATAGAAAAACAACACATTCAGTGAAGTAGAAAAGCGACATACGGTCGCCGTCGGCTTCCCGTTGTCTTCAGCTGCAACTCGGAATCCGTTTTTTAGTGTTTGGACTTCACAAGATGGCTGATTTGCCAGCACATCCTTTATAGATAACGCAGCCACATTACGAACCTGAACGTGTCTATTCAACCAAGCAAATGATTGGATCAAAGGCAAATAATCCATGAAAATAGTGGGATAAATAATAAAAAATTAATTCAATGGGAAAGTTCAAGGATATAGGAAAAATACGGTTTGGTAAAGAAGAAGTTTGTGCACTTGTGAGCTCTTCCGCGATTTTTTCCAACGGTTCCTCTGGTGCATTACTTTTATATTATCACAAGTGGAAACCTTGAGGGCTTCTAGAGCATTGAAGTGGAGTATCCTCTTCTAGTGATCAAACCACAAATATGTTAATTTCAATTTCAAAACGGCATTGGGAGCTGAGCAGTCGCACAAAACCTGCCTTCTTACAGCGATGGTATGTGCACCATATCAGGAACATATTAAACAGAATAGAATTTCATTTACGATCAAATAAAACCACCTGATTGTTGAAAACTGGCCGTAGTGATGAGCCGATGACAAACCTCAACGCCATCTTTCCGTCCTGTTACCACTAAGCCTGGAAAACTTCAACCCCTTAACGGCAGTAAATAAAACTGAGCGATAATCTGGCAAACTGTGGCATTGAATATAAAACACTCTTAAAACAATTCAGCGGTGGTTACGAAACATAAGTGGATGTACCAGTTACAAGAAGTTCGTGAAGTCGCTCAAAACTTCATGCACCGCGGCCAAGACATCGCGGCGAGACCAACACCCAACGCCGTTTCGCTTTCGAGTGCACTTTTTCGACAATTCGTTTAACGCTGCTCCTTAAACTTTGCTGGTTGATTTTCATGGTTTCGGAATTTTCGTCTCTTCTCGCTCTAAGGTGCATTTCTATCGAATGAAAGATTCTGTCCTTGTATTCTCAGCTGTACAGTTAGTTCTATTAAAGATGTAGCTGTTTCTCACAATCCTTCAGTCGGGTTAGAACTTTTTCATTAACTTTATTACAGTCCATAATCTTGCAAGATGAACAGCTGGAGATCTCACT